TAACATACAAGACCTTTATGTAATAAATGTCAGACTGCAAGGGTGAGTGAATTGGTGAAGGTGAAAAAGTGCAAGAGCTGAAGGAAAGGTGGGTGAGGAGGAGCGGATAGAGATGTGGGCAGACAGCCACAGCAGCGTGACTTGGTGCTATTGATCAGACAAGGTCAAACAGAGGGGAGAGCAGTTAGCTCATTGTTGATTAGCAGTGATAGGCTAACACCACAGCATCCCCTTGGCTGCCCTATTCTGTGTATTTACTGCTGCTCCTGCAGGGCAGCTAAAAGGAAAGACTGGGCTGATAGATGGCCAAAACTGTAGTGAAGAGCCAACAGCTGTCTGCCAGAGGATTTATATGCCAATTAATGCTGTGAGATCATTGGCTTGTTATCGTTCATTGAAATTAAACAAAATAACGTTGAAGAAAGGGGTGAAATACCGATTCTGAATCGGTGGCTCGCGTTGCTTCTGTTCGCAATCTTTTTTTTTTTGTCTTTTTTTTTTTTCATTCTTTTTTACCTCGTCTTCTTCCTCCCCCCCATTTCCTATCTAGTGCTGACTTTCCCCTCTCTCTTCTCTCTCCCGCCGTTGTTGTCATGCCAACTTCCCAGGAGACGGTGTTGTCATGGATACCGAGCGGCAGGGCAGATCAGCTGATGTCTGGTGTCATTCAGGCATGTGCACAAATCGGCCTCCTGTATGTGCGCTCGTTCCCTCCCTTCTTTGCAGTGAGCTCCCGCTCTCCTCATACCTCTCAACCAAACACAAACTAGAGCTGCAGTGTGACCACATATACTTTATTTACACACTCAGTTCAATAGTCTACATAGGGCTGTGTAGTGCGTGGTGTTTTTCTTGACCAGTTGTCTCCAATAACTCAAAAGCATTGAACACAAGAAGTGCCAGCTTATGCACTCCCAAGATCAGGATATGATGAAAAATAAATTGCAATAATACTGTAAATTTGTGCATCTGCAGTTTGAATGCCCTTGCATTTTTGCAACATGGATGGCTATGGAGCTTAAGTTATTATATTCATTTAATCACAGAGCACCCACCCTTTCCATCGTAATTGGGCTTCTGGGATGTGTTATATAACCAATTATTTGATCCCCAAAGAATAAACTGGGAAAACCTGCTGTTCACATTTTGTCCTCTTGACATCCGTGGACCAATGAATGTCAGACCTGAGGGCACACAATTAAGACCTTTGTGATTTTGTCCAGGGATTTGCTCAGAAGATACATCCAGTCATATTCGCCAAATGGGCAAAGCAAGCAATTCTTTTTAATTTGTTAATTGTGTATTTCTGTTTTTTAAAAAAAAGCATATTAACAAGAATCCTGAGTACAAAACCTCATTTGGCTTTTTATATTAATGTCTGATAGTAATGTTTGACAGAGAAAGTCATTTTCCAAAACAGTTGTTTTGGTTTTATATTTATTTATATATATATATATATATATATATATATATATATCTCAAGTTTTCAGAAACATCTATAACATGAAGTGTAAGAGTGATGGTTCCACTCACAGTTTCACATTTCTTGCAATATTCCATATCCTAAAGATAATCGGTTATTATTAACAAACAAGACAACAAAGAGGAGAACATGAAATATTATGAAATAACTGGGATTCATCACATCTTTAAAAAGGCTCAAAAGTTGTACAGTCGTGTAGTCTACATAACAACTGCACTGAAAATCCTACAGTGTAATCGTCAATGCAGATCCAGAGCGTGTAGCGCCCAAATTGGAGGGCAGGACTAAAATATGTCCACATCTCCAAGTTTTGTTAAATATGTAACGGGATGACAGACGAGTCATTGAGCAGATGGCGGGGCAGATGAATGGCTCTAACAGATTCCATATTCTGGTTAAACTGATTTGGGGGAATCAAGACAGAGGAAAAAAATGAGACAAGGAAGCGAATCTGAATGTATCATTACCCAACTCATTAGAACACCGACTGTCGTTCCAATCAATTAAGCCTTTAATATAAATGTAAATGTAATCGGCTCTTTGTAATTAACTGTGGGTGGATTGCTATACAGAGAGGCATGGCTTTAGGCTTTAATTCACGGTGATTACGTGAAGTGTTTGTTTCTGAAATCACAGGCATCGCGTTGAGGCTAAATAAGCTAGCTGGTTGATTTGCCACCGGTCAAAACCTGTCTCTGCTTGTCTGCCTGTGATGGGGAGTTTGTCTCGGCATTGCTCTCTGGTGATGGTTATTAGTGTAGCTGACTGGCTGCCCTCTGGCTATTTCCTCAACATTCACTGCCTTCAGTTCAACTTGGAAAGACAAAGAAAAATGGCTAAAACCCTAGGGGAGATGACAAAGGAGACAAAGGAAAACGAGGCTAAATAGAGGGTGGATATAGGATAAAGGGAAAAGTAATGGGAAGTTAATGAGAAATGAAGCTCAGGTCTTCTTTTTTCTCCTGAGAAGTGTTTATCTGTAAATATATTGGATTCTTCCTGCAGCTTTGTAGACCTGTGAAGCAGACAATCCAGCTGAAAAACAGAGTCTCCTTTTAACCCAGCTGCTTTAGTTCGGGGGGCTCTAATTGGAAAAATTAGACTCGCCCTTTGGGAGGCTAATCTATAAAGCATTACTCCAGATGCTGATGACGTTCTCCACCAGAAGAAATCCCGTACACCAGTTGACACCAGAGACTGATACTGACTGATATTTGTCCGAGTAATTCATCACATCTTGTCGATAAATCACCAATTTGCCTTAGTGTAATAGTAATGATCTTTTCTTATTTATTCTGAGAAAATTCAAAAAGGGGTTTTTCATGATTCAAACAGAGTATTTCTTTTCTTTTCTTCCATATACCATATAACCCTGTATATGCATCCTTTTGGGGGACACATAAAAACAGGAACAAGCAGCAATATTTTGTACAATCCTATCATAAATGAAAAGTAAGGCGGGAAAGTATGTTTAGCCTACACAATTTCTGCTAGAAGATCGAGCGGCTAATAGTTTCCTTTAAAATGAAGAAAACACAATGTTTAACCCCTTAGCAGTCGGACGTACCGCCCACGGGACATTGGATGGTTTAGGGGACTAATTGGACTGCTAAGGGGTTAAAGAATAAAAGTACATGCCCAGCCTTGTCCCACTGTTGAAATTAACAGGATAAAGACGTGCATATTGGAAAAAAACAAGACTAATGGAAGAAGATCATTAACATATACTGGCCTCTTCCTCAGACAGTTTGCTTCATATTGATATGATGACATCACACAGTTTCTGCAGATTTGTTGGCGAAACATCCACCATGCGAATCTCCCATTCAAACACTCTCTGGGACTGAGGTCTGGTGACTGATAGGCAGATTTGAGTGGGTTAAACTTGCTGTTCAAGAAACCAGTTTTAGATCATGGATGGAAGCGGCCATCAAAGTAGGGCTGCAACAAACAATTATTTTGATAGTCGACTAGTCACTGATTATTTTTGCGATTAGTCGACTAATCATTTCAAGCATCCATTGGACAGAAAATGTACAGCTTATTGCACCCGCAGCATCTGCTCTTATATAACTATCATTAGCTTACAGCTTTAAGTGTTTAAGGTATGTGCTAACTAAAAATAAAGGCAAGATGATAGTTTATTAAATTTTAATGAAATTTGCAGATTGTTTTGGTGAAGTTTAATAAACTCAGCCATCTGCTCCTTGCTATCTAAAATATAACAGCCAAACAATAACATTTTTAAGTTATCTAAGTGACTTATATATCATGTTTAACCTGAGTAACGAAAAACTGCGGTGGGTTTGAAAACAATTTGCCGGGAGTCCGGTGTTCTCACGGGCTCTAGTGAGCCTAGCCCCCGGCTAGCTATCGAGCTGGTGGGTAACAGACGTCTCCGAAAACGTCGGAGCGCTTTTGAAAATATGTGATGTCTTGATAAACTGAGCAGATATTTGAAGTTTACACAGCTACATTCTCGCCTGAAAATATGTTAAACGTTTATTTTGTGACCCAGAAAGAATAATAATAATAATATTAAAACTAACTAGCTGCCGCCATGTTGGAAACTGCGCTGGGCTGCGCTATGAATTCTGGGACATAGCTTCTTCTTCTCCAGGGTTTAACGGCAGCTGGCATCCTTGTACATGCAGTGCTGCCATCTTCTGTTTCAGACCGTTATTACACTCTTAAATCCTACTACTTATTCCTGCGTCTTTGGGGATCTTACAAAGCTTCAAACGACATGATAATCGATGTAATCGTGACTAGTCGACTAATCGTGGCAGCCCTACATCAAAGGATGAGTACACAGTGATCATAACACAATAGATATGGTCGTTAACAATATTCAGACTGTGGCGTTTAATTAATGCTAAGGGGCACAAAATGTACCGAGGAAATATCCCCCACACCATTACACCTCCACCACCAGCCTGAACTGTTGATAAAAGGGAAGATATTTTCAGTTTCTTACACAAAATGAGGCAGAAATTGAGACCTTTCGTTCTGCCTTTCTGTCAGCTCAAAGCAGTCCAGCCATTTTTTTTCTGGCATCAGTAGGACATTTTCTCTGTAAACCCTGGAGATGGTTGTGTGGGAAAATCCCTGCCCATCTGGCATCAACGATCATGATAAAACACCTTTCTTTCCATTCTGATGATCACTTTGAACTTCAACAGGTCATCCTGAAAAGCCTAAACACGTTCAGCTGCTGCTGTGTGATTGGCTGACTACATTAATGTGTTATGAGCCATTAAACAGGTGTACCTAGTAAAGTGGCAGGTGAGTGTAAGTAATTATTGTACTGACCAGTCCAAATCCTTCAGCTCTCTTCACTTTACTTCTTGGTGAAGCAAGCTGTGGTGAAACCAAATTACTCCACTGATTTTCACATGCAACTGCAACACTGTAACAGTGCAGAGTGTTTGTTTGTGTATTTCTCTGTCTGTTTTATGTACATGTTTATCTGTGTTTAACTGCGTGTGTCCTTTCTCTCTCTATTTGTGTATCTCAGGTGACAGGGCTGAGCGTGTCCCCCGGGAAGGACCAGCTGGTTGTGTTCCACACCAAGGACAGCAGGGATCTCGTGGTGTGCCTGCAGGGTATGGTGCCTGCCAATGAGAGCCGCATCGGGGAGCTAGTTGGCACCCTGCTTAGCCATTTCAAGAGGTAAGCAGTGAGGGAAACAAGTAGTAGTCAGAGGAAGGGCAACAGGCACTGGTGAAAGCAGAGTCACCTGTTTATGTGCCTAAATATGATATGTTAAAATGTCCTGAAAAATGTTAGCTGTTCTGATTTAAAGACTTGTAGGTGACACGAGGTGAAGGTAGCTCATTTCTTCTATTTACTGTGTAGAGAAAACTGCTTCCAGTTAATAATCAGCATATTGTCCCCACTTAAACCTTGTGCGGCTCTCATTTGAGGTAATTTCCTGCATAGCTGCAGGAGCAACGTGCTTCCTAAATTGAGAAAATAATAAAATTGGCTCAATTGAATTTCTAGAACATTATGTCAAATCCAGTCACACTGGCTCATATGTGTGGTACTGGCTGATGTGACCTGTGGTTGCAGGATTATGAGGCAGTTAGACGACGCAGCAGCAGCTGTCCCCACTTAAACCCTAATGTTCACTTAATAAGGACTCAGAGCACGCTTCAGGACAGGATATTAATTCGTACATCATTTGTTGTTTTCCTGTTTAGCTGAGAAAGGCAGATGGATAATTGGGATAAAATGTTTGTTAATTCTTTCTAAAGCTATTGTTTCGTTTCTACGTGGTTTTGTGTCCGCTTTAGGTCAAAAATGTGAAATGAACAAAAGTCAGTATGGATGCGCCAATCAGATATTTTGATAGGACATCAGGCTAATCCTGATTAAAAAGCTGGATTGGTTCTTGCTGACAGCTGTCCAGTCTGTTCAGTTTAATTCTCGGTTGGTCTCTGTTCACTACGCCACGCGTCAGCATCATTGCATTGCTGAGGGAAAGATGTAACGTACGTAACATGGAGGAATCTTATCAGTTATGAGATATTTCACTTTTTTTGTAAATCTTCAGTTTTTTAACTTGACTGCAATCTCTGATCCAGTGAGCTGACATTACTGAGGAAGAACTACGCTATTTTAGATTTATGTGCCATTTCAATGTTATTTCGCTTCACCTGTCTCTTGTATGCAAGGATGTTCATTCACAGTGAGACTGGGAGCAGGGAAAAGACAAACGCAGTAAAGACACACTAATGTGAAATGAAACTACTGTGCAAATGCAAACCCTGTTCTGAAAAAGTTGGGTTCTTTAAAATGGAAATAAAAATAGAATGCTCATCTAATAAATCTAATTTTATTCACATCGGAGGACATAGAAAACATATCAAATGTTTAAAATGAAGAAAAATATTGACTCATTTCAAATTTGATGACAGCAGCATGGGAGAGGACCGTGTTTATCACTGTAGTATCTTCTCTTCTTTAATAACAACCTGTAAACATCTGGGAACTGAGGGGACCAGCTGAAGGATTTTTGGAGAGGATTGTGGACTGCAGACAGGGCAGTTAAGCACCCACACTCTTCTACTGTGAAGCCATGCTGCTGTAATAGATGCAGTATGTAGTTTGCTTAAATGCAGGCTTTGCTTAAATATGCAAAGCCTTTCCTGAACAAGTCATCGTCAGGATGGGAGCACACGTTCCTTTAAAACCTGTAGATAATGTACCCCCATACCATCAGACATGTTGGCTTTTTAGTAAACTTTGATAGAAACCTGCTCCTCTTTAATCCAAAGGTTGCATGTCCATGTTTTTGAAAAAGACTTTTGGCCCAGAGAAGATGTGTTTTTGGATCGTGTTCACTTATGGCTTCTACTTCTTTAATACAGCTTTAACCTGCATTTTTGGTTGATTCTCTGAACTGTGAGTTCTGGAAGTGTTCCTGAGCCCACGCAGTGGTTGTTCTTTGAATACTCATGCATATTTTTAATGCAGTGCCACCTGAGGGCCAAAAGATCTCAGGCATCAGAGATCTTCAGGCCCTTTCAAACTAAAAATCTAAAGCTTTTGAAGATATTGTGTACTGTAGATAAAATCTGGGCCAAATTAAATATGTGGATCTATCCACTGTGGGGACCCCTTGCAAATAATCGAGCAGCTGAATGAGGTTATAAAAATTTCTTTAGTTCAGTAAATCTATATTTATTTGTTAAAATTTTTTGATAAAGTTACACAAAACGATTTCCCATCTGTTCTTCACAGTGAGAAATATACTGTAGCTTGTTTTAGAAGCAGGCATCCAGTTAGGTCTGGGCATCTTTATTATTCAATCTTTTCAATTTGTTTCACCAGAAAGAAAGTTTTTTTTTTTTACCTTCTAAACTTAAAACAAATATAGTGGAGAAATTCCATGTATCCATCTTCTTCTGCTTATTCAGTTCAGGGTTGTGGGACTTGGGAAAAATTGTGTTTTTAAATTCAGTTGACTGGTAATCATAGATTTTTGTTTGTTTTTTCAGCCCAATAGTGTCACCAAAGTCTACAGCTGTGGACATCAGACATGCAGGTCCATCTTTTATTGACGGCATAAAAAAGTTTAACTTCGCTGTGTGAAACGTGGTGTGGATCAGAAAATGGACAAAAACAGTCAGAGTGTGTCTAAACGTGCAGTTCTTCTATAATTGCTGTTTTGTGCTCCACCTGCAGTATTACGTATTGAAGTTAGGGAAAATTTCATCATGTCTTCAAATATAAATAAAACATTTTATCCACATCCAGTCGTCAGTCCAACAACTGGCGTATTTATTGAGGGGAGGTGTGTGAACAGTCCTCTTTCATCCAAGCAGCACACACTCGCTGGTTATGGAAAAGATTACAAAGTCATCTATATGGGATTATTTTTTTAAACGGACAAAACCAGCTGCCCAGGGACTTGGCTGCAGCATTCAGATAAAAGATGCATCAAGCAAAGAAAACCACTAAGGAGATTGCTAAAACCGGCCTCTTCTTCTATATCTTCTTTTGCTTCTTCTGGCTTCTCCCTTTAGGGGTTACCACAATGGATCATCTGCCTCCATCTCTTCCTACCCTAGCAACCTCTTCTGTCAGACCAGCCCTCTGCATGTCCTCTTTCACTTCATCTATCCTTCTCTGTTATCTTCCTCTTTTCCTCCTGCCTGGCAGCTCCATCTCCAACATCCTTTGTCCAGTCTAGTCACTATTCCTCCTCTGTACATGTCCAAACCTCAGCCACCAGCCTTGCCCCTCTAACTTTGTCTCTAAACTGCTCAACCTGAGCTGTCCCTCTGCTATACTCATTAATAATCTTGTCCATTCTGGTCTGAACAAAACTCTTAGCCTCTTCACCTCTGCCACCTCCAGCTCCACCTCCTGTCTTTTTGTCAGTACTATAGTTTCCAAACCATACATCATAGCGGGTCTCACTATCATCTTGTGATGTTACACATCACCCCTGATGCTCGTCTCATACTACAATACATACTGTCTTAACCCGGCTTCTACAACTCCCTATAAGCTTTTTCCTCTGCCTTTGCAACCTCTCTGTCTGCTGTATGCTTTGCTTCCCAGTGCTCCTTCTATTTACCTAGAAAACAGAAGCTTTTTTTCCTTCTTCTTGTGTTTGCTAGTGCGCACAAAGATTGGACACTGAAGCACTGGCTAAAGGTCATGTGGTCTGAGTCTAGATTTCAATTATTCCACAGTGGTGCAGAAAAGAGGTACATGAAGTTTATCAGTCATCCACGTCATCGTAGTTTAAGGATTTTGGAAAGAAAAGCATCTGGACTTCTTTAAATCTGATGGTAAGGTGGGGCTAGGCTTCACAGTGGGTTCACCTGAAACCTTGGCTGATTGTGACCCACACCCGTTTTCACACCTTGGCTCGTGTGACTAGGTAGAGGATCCATAGGGGGTCCATTACTATCTTGGGGACACCCGCATAGGGCTTAAAATCTGTGACTCTCCACCGGTTGCTCTTAGAATTGATGAAGCTTCTCGGATAAGAGGTGAAACGTCTTCAAAGAAACTTAAAGAAGTCCAGACGCTTTTCTTTCCAAGCTCCTTAGACCACATGAAGTGATGCACCCATCGTGTCTAGTGTGGGTGCTGATCTGATCTGCTCAAGATTCAGTTGGGACACAACAAGATTCAGCAATGTTGTGTCCCCAAAACTGTGGTCAGCAGACTACCCGAATATACGTAATGAGCTGGAAACGACATGGAAATATTCCAGGATTCAGTGAAAGCGTGTTGAGTGTGAGAAATAATCTTGACGCTCGCCGCAAACCTCAACTTCAATCAGCGTCGGTGGGATGTGTGCCGCTTTATGCAGCGGTTTGACTTTCCCAACATCGATACAAGATCTCAGTGAAAAATTAATCCAACTCTGGATGGAAATCAATATGGTGACATGAGCTTGGCATAAGCTTATTGAAACAATGTATGTGTGCCATCATCGGCGCTAAAGAGGGTCGAGTGAACTATTACAGTGTTTTTTTTTATTTTTTTGTTTTTTAGTTGCTTGGCAGTGTGTTTAGTATTTTCACATGAGTTGAACTTTGCGTTTTCATGGTAGAAGAAGATGTCAATGTCTAAGCTATGCAAATCCAAAATAAATGACTCAGTCTTAAAATAAACTCAGTAAGCTGCTAAATGACTGCTTAAGATCAAACCAGTGACACAATGTAGTTTGTTGATAGCTGACCTTTTCGTTAATTTGATGTACCCATACATTAATGTTTTGATAAGGCGTGTTTTTAAGTCACTGACACTGATTATTATTATTCCTGACCCGTCTACAGTATAGTCTGCTACATGCATTGAGTTCTCTGTTCATGTTTGTGTCTCATTGTGTCTGTGGTTGTAAGAGAGAGACAGGGCGGTGCATATAGTATTGCTTGCAGACAGATGTGCCTGCATCTGCTCATCTTGGTGTTTAATGTGTTTGCAGCGTTGCCTGTGTGTGCGTCCTTCATCATTGCCGTTTGATGGTGTTACCTTGTTCCATTGTGGAGCCCATTTCCCCGTAGGTGTCGGGCTGTTAAGAACCTCCAGTGGGCCTCGCGTAATGACCCTGTATGTGCTTCACATTCAGGCTCATCCATCATTGTGAAACAGTGACAGAACAAAGGGAACACCAGCATGTGCAAATAATGTGTACGTGTTCG